TGTAACGAAATTCGATTTGTAGATTTGTCTAGATTTGTTTACTTAACAATTTTGTAAACTATATTGAGCAGTGAACAGACTTGGGCTATCAAAAACTGGCCCGCCGAGAACTGTCTGCTTTATTTGCCATCACTTTTAGTAATATTAAACAGAAGCATTGCTGCACCGGAAATGAAATCGAAATTGCTTCTGTAATGTAATTATGTCGGCAGAATTTTAATGTTTTTCGACATTAGAAGTCATATGATAAACAAAAGGCGAATAAGATGGTACACCTCTTGGTATAGAACATTGAAATTAAAGCCACGTATTGGTGAACAAATAATCATGAAGCTACACGCCATTATTACAGTGCACCTATATGCTCTTCTATCTTACTTGTCGATTTTGTTAAATGTTGTGTAAGAAAAAAACTTTTACTCGGGGAGATGTCAAAAAGTTTCGACTGATTGCTCCATTTAATAGTGTTTCATGCGCTTCTTATTTAATGCACATGTAAGCCAGATAGAAATCAATGTATTTTATTGAAATTGTGCGAAAGTTAAAAATTGACGAAACTTAATTTTAGTTTTTTTTTCTCTCTCTCTCTTCTCTGCTCTCTATCGCAAAGCATTTTATTTTCGAAATACGAAATAAAGATTCATCCAAAATAAAACGAGTTCAAAAGCAAAATGAGCACAGAAAAAAGTATTATAAAACTTTTTCCACCAACTATAGATAGAGAAAAAGAAAACTAAGTGCGATTCATCCGTTTCTTGTAAAGAGTTTGAGTTGCTTTCCTGATAACTCTATCAGTCCGTTGATGGGTAAAATGAAAGGAACGGAAATGCCCATATTATTTGAGTAGAAGACCACTTTTCGGTCGGAAAAGTTATCGTATATTGAACGTGGCCAGATAAAGTGTGAGAGAGAGAAAACGGCATTAAACGTAATATCTTTCGTCAACTTTTAATAGCGATGTAATATTGCGATGTGGCAAAAAACCAATTTTCGGTTTTTAGTTAGAATCGGTTGCGTCTTTCTAAATTGGTTCGGATCGTTGGTTTCACTTTTTTCCCAATGCTTATTTATCGTTCGCCTAATTTTTAATGGCGTAGCTTCTCTTGGGTGAAAAACAATCTCAACACAAGCGCAGTGGGCGAATTGGAAAACGGATTATAACTTGCTTTCAAAGTTATAGTGATTGGTTTTGTGAAAACTTGAAAATTTTTCATTTTCAATTTCAAATTAAAAGCCATCATAACGGTTTTCCTATTATAGTTGAATTCAAAGCCATCGGACTTTTTTCCGATCAAAATCATTGTTGAGGCGATTTGTGTAAATTTTTTGAATTAAATTCCCATATTTTGGCAGTACATAATATAGTAACAAATTCAGTTGAACTTTCGAAACCAAATTTCTCAGAAAAAAAAGTAAAGAAAATGAATGATTCAATTTCAATCAATGGCTGTGAAAAACTCTTAGCTTCAAATATTAAGTAAGTAACATCGTTTGCCAATAAAAATGAAACAAAAACAAAGAAAAAAAATGTCACAAATGGGACTCTCTAAACTGTGTAAATGTCGCAGTTACAAATCCACTCAGAAAATGGTGATGCGAGCAGTCACATTTCGCTGTACATGTGCATTGAGTATGTGTGTTTGTGAGCTAATTTGGTTTTCTCGTCATATTTCATTGTTAGCAGCGGGGTATACACCACTCGATATGGAGACAAATTGAAGACATAAAAGGTCTGATTTGAGTGTTATACTGGTATGAATAAATTTGAAATGGCAAGATTTGGTAGGTTGACTTGTCGCTATGAAGTGTAACGTATATGTTCCATTCACAAGTATTGCTTGTTTCACTTTTTTTATTGGATCGATTCCAAGAAGCGACTAATGCTAAGCGATTGGGATTGTGGATGATTATATTAATGATGCAATGTGATCAGCTAAGCTTTGTCGCTGTAACTGTCGTCATTGTCACTCCATCGTTAGGATAGTAATTTTCAAATTGTTGAGCGAAATTTTTCTCTTTTGCCACGACTAAAAATCCCGATTTTGCATAAAATATAGTGTCAAAATCGACATTTTACGAAAAATGTCGAGGTAGTTTGGTAGCTCTCTCTTTCTGTGCACGAATAATGGAGACTCAATGGCTCAATATTTCGATAGCGGCACGTGTGCAATGTCATCCTCATTCGATACGCGCATATGGAAGAAGTAATCAATGTCAATGCAATTTGTTATTGTCACATCATTTAGAGAACGACCCATAATATCGAACACGAGAAAGAGAGATAGAGAGTATGACGCGAACGAAGCAATCACACTCCGATAGAATGTGCTACGAATTCAAGCTTTACAATGAAAAATTGAGCATGCAGTGAATCCGTTGCGGTGAAGTGGAGTATGAATAATAATAAGTGTCGTTTTGTTAGTTTCCACCGTACACTCCGAATCGTTGGCTATTGTTATTTTTTTTCGATGCCAATTTTGTATTTATTAGTCACCATTGCCGCTGCTGTTATTGTGGCGAATTTGATGAAAAACGACGACACCGAGAAAAATCGAACTCAACACACAAATGTAGTAGACACGAACGTGAACTGCATCCGAAATCACAAATTTTTTGAACAGACACACACACACATATTAATGAAGTGGCAGTCAAAGTCTGAAAAAAAGTTTTTCTGCATGTAGCCAAAGATTTAAATCGTGGAACGTTCACTATTCGTTTTGACTTTTATTTAGTTGAAGTTTGCGCTTCGAATTTTTTTTCTTCTTTAGTCTCTCGGTTGAAGAAGTTTTTTATTCACGTTTTCACCGCTAAAATCGATTGATTTCGATTTGATGGTTTATCTTGTAAAGTTTCTACATCCAAAATGTATTGTGTATGCATTTGCTTACCTGTTCTTCCGTCGCGACTAAGCTGCAACAATCCTTGACGAATATCCCGCAAAATCTAAAATAATTATTTATAAAAGGGAGTAAGCAAGTGATTATTAGTTTTAAAACCGACAGTAAGACATGCAGCTGCACCGCTACACGTTCAAATGCGTTCGAAATGATCACAATGGTTCACATTCGGCACAAAGTTATTTATTGCAAAATCATTGTCGTCAAACTTTTCAAATTAACAACAATGATTTTCACATTTTCATTCGTTTTCTCACTTGAATTATCATCATCTCTGACCGAAAAAAAAACGTCGATGGAAAACAGTTGGATTCGTGCCCGAACATTTACTATGCGGAACTGTTCACACACAATGAGTTGTCGTTCACAATAATAATTTGTTTCGAATTCTATGAAATGGAAATGCGAGTTTTGCAATTTTATTCTTGTGTTTAATTTGTAGTTTGCTGTTGTTTAATGTGAAATCGGCAACGATTCATTTGGAAAATGCAAGTGATATTTGTGAGCTCCATAGTATACCGTCGGTTTGCGTTTCATTCAAGTTCAATCAATTTTTTAATTGAAAATCGTGCGCTCCATCGACAAATTTTCATTTTTAATGTGTGAAATTCATTTTTGCAAAAGTGACAGACAGTGAACAAAAAAAAAAGAATTGAAAACCGTTCACGTACGTATTTTATGTGAATTCTTTTTTCAGACTCGATGGACATGTGCATGTGACAGTGCCGAATTGTAATTGGAAGCGATAAAGTGAAATGATATATATATATGCTTTGTTTGTGTGATGCATCAAGGCAACGGATAAATTAAAATTGTGTCAGGAGAGAAATTTTTTGTTGAAAATTATGGAACTTCAATGACAGTACAAAAATGGAAAAGTTAACGCTTCATATGATATGTTGAATGGATTTATTTCGATGCGATTGTTTTAACCAATTTCATAATTTTCCATTCGAATGATTACGTTACACTTGCTGTGCAATGCATCAATGTATGCCATATTGTACGGAGATAAACTGAATGGAAAGCTTGTAATAAGTGCATAAAATCACAGGTGCATAAGAAATGAAATTTTGCGATCAACGACTATCAATAAAAATGTATTGAACACGTTTTAAGCATGTTTTTTTTCCGAACATGATTGTATCTTATTGGTGTAGTTCATCTGATAGAGCTCAATTCTGAGTGTGCTTGAACGTTGAAAAAGCACGTGATGTCACGTGCAATGGTGCTGTCTTTTTAGCCAGCTTATCGCTTTACGGTGCACACATTGATCGTGTTCTTGATTCCAATCGCCCATTGAGAAGAAAAGAACAAAATCCTTTTTTTTTTAAAAGTTAATAGGTAATCTCTTGATTTACACTCAGTTGAAGTGACAGAGCTTTTATGCGGTGTTCGGCAGAAGTAAATGCGCGATAAGCTTCGTTCGTGCACTTAAAACCAAGCACAAAATATTAATAAGGCACAAAATTGATTGCAAGTATGGTGAGAGAGGGAGAGCAATACAGGTGCACACAACACGCTGCACAGTTGCATATACTTAATTTTATTACTGAAAACTCCGTCTCCCATTCAAATCCATAAAATTCTATCTGCACGCACATGTCGATTTACACAGCTTGATAACGAAATTTATTTATATATTTTTTTTTATCTCGGTTCAAGTTTTTTTCCACTTCGAAACCGACAACAAAAATCATACGACGAACGCAAATGAACCCTTAAAAAAATTCTGGATAAATATTCAACTAACCTCTTCGTGTTCTCGCTGGAATTTCTCCTTTTTCCTTAGAGCTTCTTGAACTTTAAGCTGAATAAACGAGAAAAACACATAAAATCAAACAGATTATAAACATTTATTTTCATTTGCATTGATGGAAAACAAGAAAAACATCCCACGTAACACAAGATTCATTGAATTTTGCGGATAAAAAAAATTTACGATTATGATTTTGGTTGAATAATAAAAAGTTTGAATCAATAAAAAAGAATGAAAAATTTAATCACAAATAATGGATGTGGAACTGATGGATCGATGCTGCTATATTGAATGTCTTTCCGAAAAATACATTTTCAAAATAAAAACGAAATCAAACTTACCCGATGAATTGTCTCTTCGAAACTATGCTGTGGTCCTCCATTCATTTGAAATTGTCTCAGTCTTTCGGTTGCCGTCTGATTTTCCGCACGTTGATCATGCAAAAAAATAACAATTGAAATTAGATAAAGAAATTGTATTGATATTTGTTTTTAAATGGTATTTCACTTGCCAAAAATGAAAAGAGAATGGCGCAAATGCGGTTCCGGTTTCCAAACTATAATCATTTCAAAGTTTGGCTGCGCCATATTTTTGTTTTTCAACACACCATTGCGACTCATTGTTCATCAAAAGACCCTTTGAGGCAACAGCAAGCATAACAAAAATCAACACAACAAACATTTCATTCTCATTCACAAAAGGTGGCAATTGAAGTAGTTGTAAATGGCCGGATACACAGACACACATACACAGACACACCGACAAACATTAAGATAAAGATTTATATTTTGGCTCTCGTCATTGCCAAAAAAAAAAATACCAGCAACACAGAACAACCGAAATGCGCCGGTCTTGGAAATGCAACACTTGACATGAAACCTCTTGAACAACACCTCAAGCCGTTTACAATCACCATAGTCGGAACTTTTGCCGTTGTGACGAACGTTTGGTCTTTCTTTTCAGTTTTTAGCGTGCCGCATTCAAATATGGAATATTTACCGATGGAAAAACTTTGAACGAAAGCTAAAGTTGAAGTTGAAATGTTTTATCTGACTGAAATGTCTTCAACGAAATAGAAGAAGAACAACAACAACAAAAAATACGGTAACGATTTTTTTCCTCTTCATTTCTGAATGATATTACGAACGCTTGGATGACGATGACGATGAAGTTGGAAGTCAAAGTCAAGCAGAACCATTGCCAAAAAACACATAAACACTTAACAGTAAACTCTGCCACCATCACTACCACCGACACCGACAATAACAACAGTTAAATCGTCGGATGCGGATGGTGTTCGCTTGTATATACTCACACATCCAACGCAACGAAGCAAAATTCATAAGATTACCGAACGAAAGCCAAAAACTGTATGCATACAGATTACGGATAAAAGGTTACACTGTCGTGAAAATCGATTCACAGCATAAGAGAAAAGTTTTTCGCGCTCGACAATAGTTTCAACTTGATGACATTTCAACACGGTTTTTAGATGCGAAATTTACAGTGTCTGTCTGTGTGCCAAATCCCCTTTGAGTCGAACAAAAACTAACAATCCACTCGATGAACAAAAAAAAAGTAGCTCTTCTGTATAGACAGACTTCAACCATTGGGGAACAAAAAAAAAATGGCAGACGAATGAGGACGAGACAAAACAAATTGTTCGTGTTTGAGAGCAAAAAATACTGTCGGAAATTTTTAAGCAAAAATGTAAAATAAAAGAGCCAAAAGCAAAGCGAACGATACATACAATGACAATGCAGAAATATTTGACGGTGCTGGCACTGGCCAAACTAAAAGTCAATAACATTAAACTGAATTCATGCGATCCTTGTAAAGATTTTACGCTCGCGTTAAATGTGTATGTGTTTTCTTGGAACAAAACGAAAATGGATTATTCGTATAAAAACCGATCACCTTGTATTTCAAATGGATTTCGCAATGCTGTGCATGTATGTGTGTGACCTCCCCAATGGGCGCCGAAGGCTTATCAACTTCACAATCAGCCGGGGTAATCCTTCGGATTTCGGACGTGACGAAATACAAAAAGGAAAACCATTTATTACCGATATAAAACAATTAACGAAAATTGTTCAATGGACCGAAGAACTTTTCCATTTCGTCAAAAGTTTTCGTCTCGAATTCCCAACTCTCGCTTCAAATGCGAAGGATAGAGAAAGAAAAAAATGCGACAAAGTTTTCACGCAATGAAACACGAAAAAATGCACAAAACTAACGGAAACGGGCGATTTGCATGCACAAGAGACAAGAAATACATCGCGAAAATAGAAAAAAATGCACAATTTCCATGCGATGTGTTTAATTTTAAATTCAAAGGATTAAAAAAGAGTGAGTATTTATTAGCCAGCAACCTTTACTAGAACTGCAGGTTTTGTATTCAGTTGGGCATTCTGTTATGTTTGATGTTATACGGTTTTTTTTTATTTCGTCAGAAATTTCACCATAAATGCCACGAAGTAAACGATTAAATGCCATATATTGAAGCATCAACACATTGAGTTGATCCAGACGGTACAGGATAGACATTGAAGAATGCTTTGTAACATTGTATTCTCAAATTTAGAGAGAGGAGGAGAGGTCTCTCTGTCTCTCTCTCTCAGTATGCGAAATATTTTGCCACGACTAATGGCACATTGCATCGATGCAAAAACGAACAAACCACAATATCGTCTGGGTGCATACGAACGAGTGAACAGAGCGAAAAAAAACAACAACACTGATGTTGCTGCGGCTGAAATGACTTCAAAAGGAACCGAATGGAAAAAAGTGGCATTCATGAAGCAAGTGGAAAAAGATCAACGCTCATCCAATGAATTTTCAATGAGGTTAGAAATAACGGCTTTATTTTTTTACTGCGTTGTTACGCTCTTTGTGTTTTTGACTCTCTGCACTAGAATGGAACTAAATCCTTTTTTCGTCTGTTGTACAATCATCAAGTTTGCCACATCGTGTCTTTGTCTCGTTGAATTTTTACTTTGTGTATTTTTTTGTTCAAACAACTCCAGTTTTCGAACACTAATCAATTTTACAAAAAAGAACTATCGTTAACTTTTATGGTATTCAATAGCATTCAATAGGTAATAATTTTCAAATAAAAACATGTTATGTACTAAAGTATCACATTTCGCATGGACATTATTACCAACATGAAAATGTCTCGTTTCTCTTCAGCATGGACATGGGTAAAGGTTCGATTGATCGATCAAAGACATTGTACATTGCTTTTAATTCGTGGTCAAAAGTAAAATAAAATCCAAACAAAGAGCATATATCCGAAAATGTTGCTGAAATTCGATTTTTTTTCTATCGCGACGTGTCAAGAAAATGAAACTTTGCGAAAGTGCTTCGGCATTGATTATTCTCATTGGTAGAAGAGAAATTGGAAAATATCTAGCACAATTCAAAGTATTCTGACGCACATGCAATTGAAGTTTTCGGAACGATTTCGATGAGAAAGAGCAAAGAAAACAAACGTGATTTTATAGTTGATTTTCGGTCTAAGTCGGCTTTCGTGCGGAAAATCGTGGGAATCGAGACCAGGATTACATGTGTTTAGATTCATCACTTTTTCTCTATTTCTATTTTCGGTATTTCGCCATCGTTTTGCAATCGAATTGGAGACATGTGTTTCTGGCCTATATCTTTTTATCCTTTAAGCTTTACTCTTCATACGCGTTGCATAACAAAAAGCTCTTGAGACGTTATATCGTTGAAATAAATTTGTACTCAGTGTGTGTGTGACTTATTCGCGAGAATTGAAAATGCAGGAAACGCAAACAATTGAAACGTAAATGAATGGCAACGAAGAGTTAAACTTTATGCTAACTAACATTATATGTATGCATATCAACAGCCTCTTGAATCAGCCGGGGTTCGAGAGAGAGAGAGGGAGAATATACCGCTTAAAACACGTTGGCAGACAATCGGCAGCACGATGTCATGCTAGAACGGCATTAAGCTTTTATAAGGAGGAGAGGAAAATATCCAGACGGCTTAATATCTTTAATAGGTGCAATTTTTCGCTCTAGTACATTCCGGCATTTGTTTCAAAGATGAAACGCTTCATGTTAACGACGCATTTAAAAAGAATGGCATCTCATACGGTACGCAACAAAATCAATACGAACACTGCACAACATTGACCTTTGACATTGTGAAAAAAACACACGAATAGATGTTGTAACTTCACTTTACTACAACCTCACAACAAAATAAACAACGCAAAAACTACACAGTTGCTGCACAATGTATACACCTGCTCGTGAGACAGAAGAAAGAAAGAAAAAAACTTTCGGAGAATTCGCTCCGACATATTCCGTTGTATACTTTGTCCTTATTCAGCTGAAGTTCAACAATTGGTGGTTGCACACATGTCTTTTGTGCAATTTGAAACTTTAATTAAATTGCACAGGAGTTTGGATTGACTTCCGTCGAATTTTCGTCAGCCGCGGCTTTCCTAATATAATCCGACACGCATGTGCTCATTAGGAGTAACACACAGTCCAGATTGTCGAATGCACGTGACTTACGTTGAAGTTTGTGCATTTTCTATAAATTAATGATGAGTAAAATGTGTGTGTATGTGTCTCGCTACTCCTCCTGGAAAATCGACAACAATAACAACATTATTTGCAAAAGTGCCAAGACTGCATCTAAAGACGCAAAACAATTTTACAATGGAATTGCAAACGCCAACAATTTTCAATGCTTTAGCGCACAAACGTGTGAATGCAATGCATTTTGTAATGTAACCACACAGGCACACACACACACACATACGGACCAAATTGCAGCGTACGGTGAAATGTAGACTCGTAGCATGTCGATCCAATGCATACAGAAAATCTAAATTGCATATTGTTGCAATAAATTTCCATTTTGTTTTCTTTTATGGTTGGAATTTTCCTCCAATTTTCTTTCGTTTGAAGCTTTTGTTATTTTGCATCAAATAAACGGTTGTTGTAATTCTTTTTTTCCCTCTATTTTCTATATATGTATTCAGTCTGGGAGAAATGAAAAGAAGAAACTTATTTAAATCGATTCGATGCTTCTGGTGTCGATGAAGGCGGTGACTGTGCGAAAATAATACATGATTTCATGTGTGAATGAGTTGCATGATGCTAGACACATAAATATTCTCTTGCCATACTTGAGATTACGCACACGAGAAGCAATAGAACACTCATTCTTACTTTCTACTATACATTTTGTTTGCTTCTTTTATTTTACATTTTACAACAATATGTTCGAGCGAGTTTGAGTACATTTTCATTCACTCGGCCCTCGTTTGCCATGCCGTGTGTGCAGTTGAAAATGGAAACAAAAGGAAAATATTAAACAATAGGAATGAAGAAAAAGTACCGACGAGGCACAAAATTGCAACCATATTGAGAGTATTCGTTTCTAACACTTTCGCTTGAGAACTGTCTGTCTGTCTGGTTGCCTGACTGACTTGCTAGTTGGCTCGCTGGCTGGCAGGCAGCTGCTGATGTCGTTCATTGAAACCCTAGACACTAGACATCCTTGGCGATGCTATATGATGATTATAGTCACCCATATCATCGACACATGCATATTCACATCACATATCGCAATTTCGTTGATGAATTAGCATTCAACCAGAGGGTGTAATTTGAAAGTATTTAAAATGATGAAAGAAAAAAAACATAACCACGTGAACACAAACGACGATGATATAGAAAAAAAAGCAATGCATAGTTTCGACGTTAGCATCGAACGACTGCACGAAATCTATTTTAATAGGAGTGAAAACGTGCGCACATTACTAACAATACTCCTTGTTTCACTTTTGCATTCGCTCACTCTTGTTCACATATTGTACATGCAACGTGCTGCTCAATGGCTTTGAATTAATAAATACAAAAGAAACGCTAAGCTCTTGATCAAAATTATCCGGTGAAATGTTATGAAATATTATCATAAAGAGAATGGCATTTTCTTTAGTTCTTTGTGTGTGTGTTTGTGTGAAAGAGAAAAAAAGCTTAAAAAAATATGAAGTGCGTTCGTGTTAGTCTGTATGGTAGCTTTTCCAATGGTCGTTGTTAACACTGTTGAGTGAATGTTACATTTTAAAGCCTCAAGAAACTGATGATGCATCGAGGAAAATACATTAAAAGTATTTGTCTGGCATCTTACAATACCGATGCTACAGTATTACATTCTTCTTCATCCATTGTCTTTTCTTTCTTTTCCGACACTGATCTCTTTTCATTTGTAGCACTAGTAGTTCTTCAACACTTTTAAAGCGTCACTTTTCGTTGCGATATCTATTCTATTCTATGGAGGCTTTCAAGCAATCCTTTTGATTTTGCATCTCATGAATACGAAGTCATTTAGCCGCAATTAAGTTGCAAAAGCGATTTCTGATGTTAGCTTATGAAAAAAATGTGAAAAATATCCAAACGAACCCCGAACAGTCATAATAATAATAATAATGATAAGATGTACAAGCGCACATCTTATTTGTGTGCAATCTTGAGTAAATTCAATAGCGGCTATTTCATAAAGTTAAACGATTACATTGTACTTTACTCTACGTAAATTTAAATTTGAACCTGCCCGCACAAAAAACGTCTGCACACTCGACTTAATGAATGAATGAATCGAGTCGGGAGGTGAGTTTGAATAATTTTATTTTCCCATCTTTTTTCTCTCCCTTCTACAAACTACACAGCACATGGAATGTGTGTTACGTAAAACAGCAAAACCGAATGGCATGAAAGCTGCGCTAACTGTTTAAAATGGCTCAACAAAAAAGAATTGGCATTATACTCAGCCAGACAGCTTCATTACTTTTTCATCTACAATTTTACAAAGAGAGAGAAAACACGGAAAAGCATTTGCCAACTTTTCAAATTTTCGAAAACGAAATGAATCTAGTTGAAAATTACGTGTTTACTTACCCTAGCTTGTGTTTGTGTATTTTGATTATTTGTCCTATCGCGTCTATTTACAGTTTTAAGGCCTTTTAATAACCTTGCTAATGTCGTCCTTTTCTTTGTTTCCCGTCCCTCTGTGGATATGGTGTACGAGGTAGTTCGAGAAAAAAACCGAAGCATAGCATAAAAAAAAAAGACAAACAAATGAAATAAAATGCAATAGAAAAAGTTTTGAGTGGAATAAAGAAAAACTAGCGTGTTGCATCATTGTGTCATGAAAAGTGGGAGCCGACGAAAAAACACGTAAGCTCCAATTCGTAAAAAGCGCCGGGTGGAACTAAGGGGACATTCAATAAACGTGAAACAGAACAGCATACACACACATCGCATGCATCTGAACAGCGTGAGACAGTCTTAGGCGGTGGAGACAACGAAATGGCCAACAAATGCTGAAGAATGGCAAATAAATTCGCCCCAAAAAAGGCATTTAAATAAAATAAATGAGGTTTGGCGAAGTTATTTTATGAATTCTCTCGAAACACAAGCCCAATCGGAATGTGTGTGTGTGAGTGTTTGCTTTCGTGCAGTCGATAACAACTGCCGAATCACCATCACGAATGGCACGCTTCGCGTCCACGTTTTTTCCCTTCTTCTGTTGCTTTAGTTGTTTGTTTATTTGTTCAGTTAGTTACTTGGAGTTTGGTTTTGTTTGATTATTTCGCATATTGCTAACTATCACTGTTATCTTGGCTGCTCCATCATGGCGAACATCATTTGCATATATTATAATTGGAATATTATGCCATTTGTGTTAAATTTATTCCGAGTGTTTCGGTGGTATGTCTCACGTCTGTGGGATTGTATGCAGACGCCACCCCGTTCTTAAAAAAAGATGAACACAATGATGCGAAAAATATGTAGAAAATATTTCCCCAACCACAAAAATAATATGTAGATCTACACGTATAAAAGTCATAAAATGACACTTACCATTGCTCGTCGGGGGAAACTCATAGAAATAGGCTGACCGCGGACTAAGGCAACTGCAAAATTGATGTTGGCAAAACATCAGTGAATAAATGCCGAATGGGAAGAAAAAAAATAGAGAGAAAAATGAATACAATAAATTTGAAAAAAGTAAACTTTAATTATGGTTATTTTTGGTATTTTTATGAGTTTTTATGAATGTATGTAGATATATGTGTTTGTGTCTCCTGTGCTCACTTGTTTTGATCGTTGCAGCCATTTCGACCGCACGGAAAAAAGATTTATGGTAGTGCGCATAATGGAGAATAAGAGTGTGAAAACACACAAGATATTACAACAACAATATCATGCAAAATGTACGCGCATTGTTATATTATGATAACAACACAACCAACTACTACATTAAACGTGAACGACAACTTGGAAAATTCGAATACTTTATGATAAAGAGCAAGAGAGAGAAAACCAAACAAACAAATGCACACACACTGCGAGACAACTAAAATGTTGTTGAAAAGTGCAGAATGAAAAAACACAAAAATACACATTCAACTACCAACTCAATTAATATGCATGAAACGAATGAGAAACTTAAATAATGTTACCACTTGTAATAAGCAAGAAAAGAAAATAGAACCAAATGAAATTAATTCGAAAATAAAATAACGAAATAATAATAATAAATTAATGGAAGCAATAAAACGAAGTTAAGTACACGCTGTACTGCAATAAGCAAAGAAAATGAGTCGTTGACCTCATACGAAGCCCACTTGACTTGGCATCAAGATTTCCAAGTAGTGAAAACTCTGATGCGATACCATTAATTTTTGATAATGCAATTTTAAGAAGACTCGTTGAAATATCGAGCATATATTTAATTTAATCCGCTTTTGTCCTGAAAATATACACAGCGCAATAGTGGTGGTGAAAGTGTGGCTGACGGCGTATTCACTTTTAATAAATTTGATAAAATCGATCAAGTGCTTTGCATTCATAATTACTTTATCAATTTCACATTGAAGACTGAGATGGCAAGCGAATATTTGCTGCATTTTGAATGAGAATAATGCGATGCAACTGAAGGCGATGATTGAATCTATTAATTTTTTTAATTTGCAAATTTTCTGATGAACATCCGATGCATATAGTTGAATAAATGCTCATCATTCAGTTAAGTTGATGCTGCTACTGCCGCTTCTACTTACGATGATCAATACAATTTGAAAATCCATTTGGCAAATACGTAGTTGAAAGCATCGAGCCATGCTTAATATTGACATACAAATTCATAGCCGGATATGCAAAGGAAAAGGATCGATAATTTCAAGACTCGAAACCCCTGATTCTCGTGGTTGTGTATTGGCCAACCCGATTTACATTTGGTGAAATCGCTTTTGCATTTTGTCGATGAGCCAGCGATGGCATGTCATTTAGCATCAACCCCAAAATGCCAAAAGAAATACTTAAGACAATTGTTGTACCGTCATTGGAAAACCCAGTGATTTATTTAAATGGCATAGATCCATATTCGATTCACCGAATAAGTTCATTTGTATAATTGGAAATGACGTATTATAATGCTCTATTGAATAAATTTGATATTTGTTCGGAAATTGGATGATTCTCTTCCTCTCTTTTAGACGTTGTAGATGCAATCGAAAGAACGAGAATCGATCGAAGAGTTTATTGCCGCTGGCATTTTCAGTGAATTTAATCAAATTTTCACGATTAATATGCATATTGAAAAGCAATTCTTCGACGATTCGACCTCTCAGCACTCCAAATCTATCTTAAATTGTTTTGGAAATTGAATTGAACTTTTTGCATAAGATGCTTCGAAACATGCTCAGCATTTAATTTAATAGATATGGAACAAATCAAATTGAATCAATGAAATTGCAATATTTGATATAAACTATGGACGTTGCGGAAAATTTGAACCATAGTGGACCAACACACAAACAGCATTGTGTCTCTTTCGTCATGTAGAAAATTCAAATAGTTGGAGACACTTCAACAATGTTAAATATTGTTTTGGGAAAACCAAACCGCTTCCGAGCATATAGTATATATGCATTGTTTACTGACACAAAATTGGGTCAGGCAAAACCTTTTTTTATCGAGAGAGGAAATCACCAGATTTCACAATGCATAAAATGTTAAAAGGTTTCGTTCTTTGAATTATAGATGAGAACAAACCAAACAAATAAATAAATGCGTTATTCGTAAAATCCATAAAGTTTATACACAAGCACACGAGATAGTCGAAATCATGCAGTTCAATATATATTCGGTTATGTGAATACAAACTGATGGTTTCTGTGTTTGTTTAATGTGAACTAAAGCATATAAAGTATTTCTGTCAACCCATTCAAAGTGACAGGGTTTCAATTCAATGAAAAGCAACACATGAAAAAGAGGCAAAGATACGCAATAGATCGAATACATAGAAAAGATGACGTAACAAATCAACAAAATTTACCGGTTAAATATTCAAAGCAAACAAAATTGCAATTACCATATAAATACTCATCATGTGAAATATAAAAAGCCGACACTTACAAAACACATTTAGAATGAAAAAGGAAAAGAAGAAGAAGAAGAAATAGAAGATGAAAGCCACAAATTTAAATGCAAAATAAAGGGAAAAGCATACATAAACGCACATATGCACACATGTCACGACGAACAAATGGGTTCTGTAGAAAGTAAAAAGTGCCCGAAGACACTGAACTATCTGAGTATGATAAAGTGCGGTGATGATGATTATGACTGTGATATTATAAAAGGCGCAAGCACTCAACGGTGTTAACAAAAGCCAAACCAAAGAAATAGAACATAAAATAAAAATAAAAAAAACAAGTGAAACACATGAAGTGAAACACAACAAACGAAAACGAATCAAACGAAAAACCAAAATGAAAAATTTTTTGCGAAAAAACACCTTTGCTGCTGACCGGCAGGTACATGCTGAAGTTGCTGTGGTAAATGCTGTTGGGGATGAACGATTTGCTGGTGTTGTCCGATCGGCTGTGAAGTAGATAGCTGTTGCGGTGGTTGAATATGGTTTTGGGGATGATGATGAACATTCACTGTTGTTGTTGGTTGATGTAATACAACAGGCCGTCCAACTCGTGGCGCAAATACACCGTAACCGAACCCATAAATTTCATCTTCTTCCTTATCGGACAGACAACTTGACGGCTGCAATGAGATTAAAGAAAAACAACAACAAATTTAAAATTAAATAAATATTATCATAGTCTTGAAGGTAATGCTGATGAAAACTACGAACAGCATACACCTCCAGTATTTTTTTTTTTTTTCACTTTAAAAATATTATTATGGGGATTATGGGGATTTTCACTAGCAATAAAAATCACTTTATTCTATTCGTTTTGGAATGTCCGGGAATGTCTTATTTTTGGAATGTTTATGAGTTTTTTCTCGCATTTTCAACGATGTTTACATTTTATGATATTGATTCGGCCAATAAACAAATTGTGAGCGCATCAGAGACGGTAAAAGCAATAAGCTGTAAATTCATGGATAAAACAGTAAAATTTTACAACTAACGGATAATGAAAATAAATGTTAATGGCGTTGGGTCATCGTGCTTGCAATGGCACACCGATAGCGAAAAACAGTGACACAGAGTGTGTCTTCCATATGCTAACAGCAATGAAAAAACAATCTTATTAACGTCGTTAGTCGCTACACATTTAAATAATCATATTAAATGCGTTTTGCGTTACAGTTTTGGTATAGCATGTATAATAGCGCAATTGATGTAGAGAACCGAAAACCTATTTTCCATATCATTGGATATTTGGTTGTTATATCGTATCGTAACCCATCCTAATATTCAAAGCACAATTTGAGGCACAAATATGCAAGAAAATCTTCATCACTCAGTGCGAATGGCATATTTTTCGTATAAAATTTTATTTGGGCTGAATTTTATTCACTCGCCACCGAATTGGCTCTATCTTTTTTTCCTCTTGCTATATAATGTTACACATTACGCATTGATTCGATAGGGTTTTTGGGGTATGGCAGCGATAATATTATTCGTTTTTGCTCGCATTCTATCTCCTTTTTTTATTATCATTATGTGTGTTTATGTGCCGACAATAATATGTCACTGGATGGTCATAATAATTGCGTGTTCGTGTCGGTTTATGTGCGCTTCGAGATGGTTCGCTTCATTTTTATACAATATTTCTTTCACTCGATGTCATAAATTTCATCGACCAATGTTGTTGGGAGCCTGTTTATTTCTTGGAAGCACGATTTCACGATGGGTACGATGATGAATTGTTGACAATTTATTATCAGTTTTACTAGTTGGATGGGACGGTAAAAAGTCAGATGAAAACTGACTTAACGAATACGCACAGAGGCAATTTTTACGAACAATGACGACTACGTACCGAGAAAAAAAAAATGAGATCGAAAATATCTCATACAATGAATCAAGATGAAATTTACGAAATGCACGAGCCAATGGCAACGGAAGGATATGCGAAATAATCGTTATTTGTAATGTCTTTTTTTGGCATACAGAAAGACATTAATGCCTCTGAAAATGTGCGTGCCAATTTATAAAAGAAGACACATGGCATACATTTTCCATTCGATGGAATGCGAGAGAGAATGAGTGAGCATAAGTCAAAAGTCACCAGAGACCAATGGAAAATTGAAGACGTTTGCAGCATTTTTTCTCTCTCAGTCGTTAAGTTCGGTTTTTTTTCCTGTCTCAGCATTGTTACTTACCGAATATTTCCCTGGCACATAGATCGGTTGCGAATGACTATTTGGCAGGCTTCCTTGTGACGAACTGCCTCGATGACCCTGATGGCACATACCAGATCGATGCTGTGGGCTTTGTTCGGCCCAAGCTGCTTGTCGTGCATTTTCCAAACCACTTAGAACTTCGTTGAATGGAGCGTCTAATAATTCGACATAAACCGTTGCTAAACCTTCCAAGTGCCCTCGTTGACCATCCTATACGACAAAAGATAAGAAACAGAGATAGAGAGAGACAAAAAATGAGAACAAAAGTCAAGTTTGTGTAAAAACGTTTTGTGTTCAACATTTTCATTCTAATGAGCTTAAAATCTTTGCGGTTTTTCACAAACACACGCACATACAGTGAAAGTAATTCATGATTCTTATTCAACGTTATTTTAGGATTTTCGCAGTTTTGTTTCACCCTTTCCTCAGTCTCTTGTGCCGTTTCCACGGACGATATTTATTTCACTTTGTGCAAGTTAAATTTGCCAAAAGCGAGCCACGCCAAATATTTCGAAGGGTTTTGAGTTGGGAGTTTTGAGGTGGCTCATTTTTGTTGTTAAAAGTCCAAATGTTTCTTCCATGAACTTTAGTTAAAAATTATGGTATTTAAAATCAGCAAAGTTTTCCAACCATTCGATAAGCTTCGAGAAGAAGAATTCGTGAAATGAATATGTCTAACGACTGCAGCTGGCATATCTTCCAGACAACGTTCTTCGAACAAATAAAATTAACTGAAAATTACAATTTATAGACTTTGAAAAATATTTGCATAATTTTGTTTTAGTCTGACTTGCCGACGATTGTTTTCCTTTAATTTGCACACTGTGCGGTAGTTTCATTCGATTGCCACCGACCATACCATTTCATCTGTGTGATATATATGTATAGGCTCATTTAATCACCGCCAAAACTAAAGTCGAATGAACAAATTTAACAACCCAATAAAATTACTTTTTAGAAAAACGATCAAAGTTATAATGGTTATCGGCGGTGAAACCGCATCACATAATTTCTTTTCAAAACGAAACGACAAAACCCATGGAAATGGTTGTAAAGCAATAAAGAGAAATTGCCATCGCCTCAAATTCGCGATTGTTATTATACGGAGAGTCTCGGAGACAAACATCAAAATGGACAATCGTTCCACATCTCTGCATTAAACTTTCGTCATTTTCAAAAGAGATTCGCACACGCACAGTGTCAAACTTCATACAATACATTTAAATAATGGAATAAGAAAACGAAATCGCTTGCAGCGCTACCCGAAAAATTATTTAGAATAGGTTTTCACTTGAAAAATGTCTATTTTGAAGATAAACTTCTTTTCTTTTTTTTCATGTGTAGCCAAATGTTATATGGCTAAACAATAAACGTTAAAATAAATTAAAGCCGAATTGCATCATCGGTTCTTATCATCTTTTCCGAGCCGAAAATTTTTACAGACATTTCCATCGTTTAAATCCGAATTTTATCGCTGGTTCTTTTACATCATACAGATCGGTAAACTGTGATTTTGTTTGTCTGTTGTGTGTGTGTGCATCATTTTGTACGATTGAAATCGCATTACTTCTTCACAAAATCATGAATAAACGAAAACTTTGAACGCGCGAAAAACACACAGATGCAAAGAAGGAGAACAAAACTTTATCAGATCAACATTACCATTTGGTGTGTAAAGCCTATCAATGAACATTGTGAACTTTTGCCATCTTCAATACAAGAATGTATTGCCATTAAGTCTTTTTAACAGCATAGAAAATAGGATTTCATTGGTATACATATAATATATGTTTTTCTGATGCCATCGTCAATGTGTTCGCAGCGACGGTGAAAAAAGAGAAAAAAAAATCGACAACGACACAAAGGAATAAGATAAACAAAAAATAACGTGTATTTTCTCGGCTCGTCGTGTGCCGATCGATGTTGTAAAAACAAGCCAAAGCCAAAGATAAACATAAAGCGGAAACACAAGCATTGAAAATGAGCATGAAAATTCCAGCAAATTCCACCATATTCCAAAATAAACAAACGCTCCCGCGCTCACTATCATGCACACACACACAAAAAACATTCAAATGCCTCGCCACAAATGAGAAAGGAGACATTTGCCGTATTTTCAGAATGCAGCGACAAAAAGAAAAATGGAATCATCACCCATTTACCGCGAATCATAGCAACGGCGGAAAAAAGAGATACGAAAATCCACAATAACACCGAATATGAGAGAATTGGCTGCGATGATTTTGCAAAAGAACGGAACAATATCTCTTCGCAAAAGAAACCAAGAGGAAAAACGACGGAAACAGGAAAATGAATAGCAGCATTATGATTCGAGGTCACTGCGCGCATATGAACGTAAATATACTATCAATAGTAAGGCATCAGGAACATCGAAAGGAAAAATGCTGTATGCGACGCTTGAAATTCACTTTGTGTATGATTTGATTCGTATTACAATCTCTATCACTGATTGCAGCGAACGCCAAGCATTCAAAACACTGTTATTTATTGGCGCATGTTTATTTTCGAAATTTGTTTATTTATTGTTTCGTTTTTAGTCAAACAAAAGACAGATTTCGATGTACCAAATGAGTACTGGGCTCGTTTCGAAGCGCTTGCCAAAAATAATAGATTGAATTTTAATGATTTTCCTTTTACAAAATTGAAAATTGACCTCGCACTTTTCACGCAATTGAATACATTTCGTCGGGTTACAGTTCATCAACGAGTCGACGAGCAATAAAATGTGCGACACAAAAGATAGTCATTTCCGTATCCGCAGTGCTATACTTTTTGAAAATTTGTAATTTTCAATTTCAATATTTAATTCTGTGATCAAAACGAGCACAAGATTGGCCTGTGTGTACTCCATTTATTTACATTATTATCAAGAGATTGAAAATACAGCTAAAATTGAAACTCAAAATGAAAACGAAAATGGTCCATTTTAGATATCAAATTATCAGCTGTTTTTCATCGATAGAAATAAGAAACAAAAGTCAAAAATACATAATCGAGCACAATTAAATTTGCTCATTCTAGTGCGGAAAACAAAAGCGTCGCTGAATCGTTTTAAAGAACGTGAACGGCAGCAAATTTATTTACGGCAGATGTGGATTTTTAATTGCGTTTAACAAACGCCGCTAATACAATGATGCGCACCGCCACGGTATTTTTCGAGCGCAAACCACATCGAAGCTCATTGTCGATGGTAAAATATGGCGATTTTATTAAATAATCGTTGACCTTAATTACCATATCTGATTTATATCTATAATGATTTCTCGTTTCCTAAATCAACAGTGCATTGCATGCATACACAAAACATTGATAATGCGCAAAATAATTATGCGAGTCATTGCGCTAAATTTATATTTGAATACACGTGTATTCACGTACTGATACAACAATAATATTTGGTTCGTAAATTCGAACAAATCCGGTTCGTAATCAATTCTTCCTGCAGTGTATTTCACTGACAATAAGCCGTGTTTGCTTTGCATTTTCATTTTCCGAAAATGCACTGTGCTAATGTTTATTTGGTGTGCGAATTAATTATGGCTTCTGTGATTATTTTTTATTCCGTTTTGTTTTTATTTTTTGACCATACCAAACTCCAATTTAATGCATGAATGCATTGTGGCTTAGATTGGAATTCTTTTCATTTGGATATTGTGTTTATTTGATTTCATTAGCAGTTGATTACATATTGAATTGAATTACACCTCATTTAAAAAGTATATTTATTTAAACATCGATTAGAGATTAATCTCTCGATGGAAAAATTGTTCAAATGGTTGTGGTTTTTGGTGGTCTGTGCAATGTAATGGGGATGCCCGTTTCAAAATGTGGTACACATTTTAATTATAACCCCAAAAATAAATTTAAATAGTTTTCTCACGGCCGCAAAACTTTTGTCGAATAGTTTTGTAATTTTATGTTGCCGGAAGAAAGTCGAGATTGCAATATTGTAACGAAGAATCTTGAGCCCAAGTGAATTTATAGTACTTCTTTAAAAAAGTGCCACTATCCTTGAAGTGTGTGTGTTTCATTTTCTTTAGTTATTCGCTCGCTTGGCGTGATTTTCTTTTTCTGTTAGAAAAAGGCGCTCGCTCACTTCCACAAAGTTGCTGACTCTAGCGGCTCTTATTTTCACTTGATATTTTTTTCTCGCAATTTTTTCACGTTTCCTCGGCTTGGAACGTAAAATATAGAGAGCAGCTCGTTAAAATAAATCATTAAGTTGGGTTTTTATGCCAAATTCATGTCGTATTCATTGTAGTTGCAAACAACGTTGCAAAGAGTGAAAGAGAGCGGCACCGAGAGGAGGAAAAAAAGAAGAATTCAACTTCCCAAAGCAGCTGACAAAGAAGAAAAGGCACAATGTAATCACGTGTCTTTAATGGTTCGAATTCTTTATACCTTGAGTAAAATACCAAACAAACTTAAGCCTTATATCATACTACTGCTCCAATATATTTGTTATACATATATATATTCCTGGTGACCCAGAAATAATAAAATTAATACAAAGGCACGTCATCCTTATTCTCCATCGCAACGATGCTCAACCGTGCAGCACAAATACAAGCAATTCAGACAAAAATTTACCGATTTATTGCTAAAGACGGGCTCTATTGAAATAATTCCAAATGAGCGAAAAGTCTCACTGTAAGCTACAAAACAAAATAAAAAAACTGTCGAAAACGTTCAACACAAAGTCAACCTCATCAAATATTTATCTAAGACTTATCCAATTTGCATTCTGTCGAGGAAATAAAAACCCGATGAACATGTACAGCTTCTTCGCACAGCCTTTTTTGTCATGTTTTTGCGGCTTTGTGTCGAACAGAAGCATCACCCGAACCAAATTCTGATCAAATGCAACACATCGCATCGGATTCTAATCCCATCAAAAGAAACAAAACACGTAAAAACACAGCAACTTCATCATTTGTGTGTTGTTTTGATAAAGCCGATAAAAGCATCCGGTACACGAAAGTGAAAGAGAGAGAGAGAGAGAGAGAGAGAGAGAGAGAGAAAGAGAATTCGTATTCTAACAGTGACTTGTAAAAAAATGGCCGATAAAAAATTCATATGGCCGATAAAAAATTCATATGCAGATTGTACTTTTTGCTCGCTCGAACTAGTGTACGACAGAAAACAAAGTGAAACGTGTGCATGTTAACACCATATGAATATTTAATGCA